ATTTCACCCTAAAAATCCTTGCCTTTTATCCATTACAAATAAACTGATGCTTTACATTCTGAAATGACAGAGCTCTTCCAAATTATGCCTTTAAATTAACTTACAAGCTAATGATAATTATCAATGGTGTTAAGCAGGCTACTGTAGAGTAAGCCTTATTCTACATAAAAGTAACATTACGCATGAATATAGTTGACAGCATCTGGCTCAAAGTGTATGTAGGTCTGATTTATGCTTAAAATTTTGCTCGTTTGCTTGTAGATTTAACTGCATTTGGTCAAGGGTTCTCTCTGTATTGGAAAAAAATCGCTAAAACTCAGGAAGTGGGTTCAGACTTAACTGGAAAAACAAACATCTCAAAGATATTAGAAATAAGGAGATCACCTATGCAGACTGAAAAAAAAAAAGACTGCTAAACAAGAAAAGCTATATTGTAGGGAGCAAGGAGCCACAGTCTAAAGTGAGAATTGTCAAAGGCTGAGATGAGCTAGACTTCACGGAGGAAGTTAAAACAAATGGCAAAAGGCTCTTCAGCCACATACAGAGAGAATCAGAAGTGGAGGGGTGAGGATGGGGATTAACAATAATTTAGGTGTAACCCAAGACCTAAGTGAATTCTTTTCCTCAAAGTTTCGTTAAGAATTATGATGTTGGCTATGGGGACAACGATGGCTAATACAAGGGAAGGTATGGGAAAGGAAGTTACCACAACCAAGGTAGGAGCAATAAATAAAAATAAATAAATAAATCACTCAGTTCTGGGTCAGAACAGATAAATCTCTAGCCCAGAAAGTGGAAAGAACTGATGTATGAAATTGCAAACCCACTAGCAAGTATTTCTAAAAAATATATTATATCTGGCATGGTGTTATACAATTAGAGAATAGCAAAAGCAGTATCTATACTGAAGAAAGGAAAAGTAATTTAGGCAGCAACAGACCACTTAGACTAACCTCAACAACAAATAAGGCTTTGGAACAAATTTGAAAGAAAGAATAATTCAGGACATGGAAATAATGTAAAATGAGATGAAATGCCACCTAGATTTCCCCAAAGTAGTTCTTGCCAAACTAACTCATCTTTCTTGGGGGAGGTAATGGATGTTGTAGACAACAAGCAAAACATCAGAGTTACTCTGGAGATTGATACATTTATTGAATGAATATTATGATGTGCTGCCTACCATAGCACAGGGCTTGACTAAATGACCAATGAGGCCCTTTACATTCACTTTTAAAACAAGCATTAACATATGAAATCCTCAGGGACAAAATTTTATTAGTGTTGCAGACATAATCACAAGCCACAAGTTTTACATCTATGAAATCTCTTTTTTATCTGCTCTTGAAACGCCCACAAAAAACTCACACCAGATCCTGCAATTAGATCTGTGAGCAACCAGAGTTTTGATCCAACACAGCTAATGGGATACCACAGAGATGATGTGGATGGTCCTGCATGGAACACAGTGCAAAGTCAATGTTTTTAGGAGTCAGCTGGACCCATTCCAAATATTCTATTCAGTATTTTAATTGCATGTTCAGTTATGAATATATTTTGAGTATTTTACATTCAAAGCTTTATATTAAAAATTAACTATTAAACAACTTAAGAATTGTAATACAAAGTGTGGTCTTTTTCTCTATTTTCTCAATGTAGGAATTATTACAATATAACCAGAAAGGAAATACTAATCAAAATGTTAAATTCACCAAGTACCGCAAGTAATTTTAAGTTACATGTTTACTTGCATATACAACTGGAATTTATTAGCTGTTCCCGTGTAATATTATGGATTTATTATTGGATCTGCATTTCTTAAAGACAAGTAAAAAGAAACCTCTCCAAAAGCCCAATTCTACTAGTCAGGGGAAAAAAGGAAGTCTATAAAAGGCCAAACTCACTTAAAAATACAAAACAAAACAACACACTAACAACACACCTCCTTAAAAAGCCTAACCACAAAGAAACCCAAAAATCAAAAGAGTTCAATGTCCAATATCAATACTACTGACATTTGTGAAAAATGCTGAGAGTTTCCGAGCCTTGCATGGTTTCCTGTAATGCCTTTTAAAGAACTTGCAGATAAATCTAATTAAAAAAAAAGTAGCAGCAACCACTCTAGCAGGTTTTCTACATACCAGTTTACATGCTGAAGATCATAATCATAATATTCAGGTTTGGAAAAAAAGAATGCATTTTGCAAAATGCTACTATTCCCCCTAGAAAAAAAGATAAAAAGGGAACACATCTAGTAATAGTTACTGCCAAGATTTTGAACTTTGAATGATTTATTTCTAAATCAAGAGGTTTTTTTAAGAAATAATTTTGACAGTTCCAATTAGCAAACTTCTGTTTCTCTCAGAAATTTAATAAATGAAAAGTGCATTCAGTCATCATGCAGTCTCTTAATAAAATTGAAGGCAAAATTTGCCTTTTTAACAAGATAATCTTAGAGTAGCTTTCAGAGGAAATATGATTTAGCACTCTTGACGTGTCTTTGTGCAGCCAGTTTGGTAGGATTTTTTAAAAAAATATTTTCCTTTTAAATTTGCTTTAGGAAAAATATGATGCTATAAGAAATGAAGGCTACATTATGTACAGTATTTTGCACAGCAATGTCAACTAATTACAAGCTTTGAGAAAAAGCAGAATGATTTTTTGAAACCTTTGCATTTAAAACTATTGCAGTTGAAAGAAAAGCTAGAAAAAAAAACAGTGGCAAGACTGAACTACTTAAACATCATCCATATTTTTTAAACCTAGGGATCAGTTATCAGAGGAAGCATACCATGATATAGTGTAGCATTTTCTGACATATTTGTGCTAACTTTAAGGCTCGTGAAAACCTGCTTTGACAGGATTCAATATTCCATGGAATATGGATGCTTGAGAGTACTTGAGGTTTGAATGGTGTGCAAGCTTACTTGGTTGGTGATCATATACCTGCGTGTCTGAGGCATATGCGCAGTGACTGTAGCAGTGAGAAAGGGGTGACCTATTGGACTGGATTATAATTGGATACTTACCTGTAAAAGCGTTATTGGATCAGGACCTCGATCATTCATTGGATTAGTAATTATCACCCTTCCCTCACTCTCGGTCCGAGTACCCTTTGAGGAAAAAGACTGAGGGCCCGACTGTCACTCCAGCTCAGTGGGCCTGTGAAGGCCCTGATGCTGCACTTCGCTGTCTGTTTATGGTGTATTGTAGTTAACCAGTGTATATAGTTAATGCTTGGTGTTACGTATGTTTCCTAATGTTAATCTTGTTTTTCCTGTGATGGTGAGTTTATAACATTCTTTTGAACTTTACTGGAGTCTCTGTGTATTTATAGGGTATATAAGAGCAGGGTGTAGCTCTATGTATATCCATGACCCCCAAATCCACCCCTAACAGAGATAACACACCAAAGGCCCTGGCTGTCTGAGGAGACTTAACAACCCTCTGCCCCTTAGATATTTCATAGCTGGTCAGTGTCCAGGATACCCGGCAACGTCCGCCTTTCAGTCCTAGTATCTATGATTATTTTATCACCTTGTGCAGCTACAACCTTTCACTGCGTGATCACTTGCCTCAACAACACCTCATACCACCTCATGTATAGGTGGTCTTCATAGACTTAAATTGCTTTAAATCTGATCTGAATGCAGCGAGATGCACAACAAGTGGAACCCTCGATACAAATGCAGAACAGTGGCCCCAAGTTGTTAGCTTCTTGCAGCAGGGGCCAGCTTTCCACAACCTGTAAAAAACTTTTCACTAGAGGCGCACCGATACGTTGGTCTGATATCAGATTGGCACTGATATAAAGAAAATTGATTGCATCAGAAATTGGCCTGGTATGACTGATAATGTGGCCAATAAATGCTCTTGCACGCGCACAGCTGCAACATGCATGAAGGCAGTGAGGAGCACAGCCTGGCAGCTTGGAGAGCTGCATGCAGCTGCTAAGTCTGTTGTGGTAGAAGGGGAGGGGGGAGGGAAGGGGCATGAGGAGCAGATCAATGCCCTCTGCAGCGAGGGAGGGAGTGGGGCTGGGGCTAGCACTGCACAGCCAGGGTAGGACAAGGCACAGAACAGAGCTGCGGCTTGTCCAAGGGGCGCTGTTGCGCACACCCCGGGAGGGAATGGGGGTTGCCCCCAGATCTGCATGGGGCGGGGGCAGGAAGGGACTGCAGCTGAGGCCGGGGCTGTGCTGGGCTCTTCCTGGTGTGTGGGGGGATGCACTCGGGGCTGCAAGGCCACATTTGGGGCTGTGTTCCCAGCACGTGAGGACTGTGGCAGCACTGGGAGGAGGGCTACAGCAAAATCTGGGGGGGCTACAGCCCCCCACTGCAGCCCCCTCCCAGCACCGCTGCTGCCCAAACATGAGCTCAGCCCTGGCCCAACCCCTTCCCCCACGTGTGAGGAAGAGCCCAGTGTGGCCCCGGCTCCGTCCGCAGCTGCAGTCCCCCCTCCCACCCATGCAGATCCAAGGGCACACGTCCCCCGCCCCTGTGCCCTCTTGGAATGCACGCAGTGGCAGGGAGCGCCCCCCCCCCCCGCCCCCCCGCCCA